CGCAAACTCATCATTGAAGATAGACTTGTGACATATCGCGAGATTGAGGCATCCTTGAAGATATCAAAGGTCTCAATTCAAAAAATTTTACATGAAGAATTAGGAGTAAGAAAATTAGTTTCTCGTTGGATACCCCACCTGTTGACTGAAGAACAGAAAGCAGCCAGGGTTAATTGGTGTCAAAAAACGCTTGACCGTTCCAATTCCGGAAACTCAAAAAATGTGTACAGCATTGTTAGTGGTGATGAATCGTGGATTTACTGTTATGAACCAGAAAATAAACGACAGTCGTCTGTTTGGATGTTCCAAGGTGAAGAAAACCCAACAAAAGTCATCCGTTCTCGAAGTGTTTCGAAAAAGATGGTCGCGACACTTGTGTCAAAATCGGGTCATATTGCAGCAATTCCTCTTAATGAACAAAGAACTGTTACTGCGGATTGGTGTACCACCATTTGTTTGCCAAAAGTCATCACCGAGCTTCAAAAAATCAACCCTGAAAGAAGAATCATCTTCCACCAAGACAATGCAACCTCGCACACAGCCCAAAAAACAAGATAGTCTAAATCCTAACGATTTCTTTACTTTCCCGAAAATTAAAAACAGATTGCGTGGTCAAAGGTTCCAGTCACCAGAAGAAGCAGTTGACGCATTCAAAAATGCCGTTTTGGATCTGCCAGCAAACGAGTGGTATAAGTGCCTCGAAAATTGGTTCGAGCACATGCAGATATGTGTATTAATCTTCGTGGAGAATACTTCGAAAAACAATAAAGTCATTTAAAACTACCTACCGTGTTGTTCTATTTCCATATGCAAAACTTAAAAGACATCCCTCGTAATATGTTATTTGTTAACTAACCACCTATAACGAGTGTTTAAAATTCGACCCTCACCATTGACATCTTGGAAATGGTAAGAGATACGAAGTCGCTTAAATGGATTCAATTTGGCGTATTTAGGTAACTAACAAAATGCTACTTAGAAAGTTTCTCAATTCAAAGCGCTTCCGGAGAGAGACGGAGAAATCCGGATTTTCTCAAATTTATTCTAATTTTTCCGTCTTTATTTGCGGTGAGGTTTCAAAATAAATTACACATTAACATTGCCAATTTTCCTTTTCTACAAGATGGTATTAATTGAATTTCAATATGACGTTTCGTCACTAGTCCTCCAGCATCAACTTCATTTTTTCTAATAGACGCCATGTTGGATTTTTGCACAGATGAATAGAGCTTTTAATTCTGGTTAAAAAAAATTTATTTGTTGCATAACTTAAAGGTTCGATAGAACTTTTAAAATTAATGCATAAGGTCTATATAAACATGGGTCGAAAAATGCGTGGCTTCCGAAATACAGGGTGTTTAAATTTACTTTCTAAAATAGTTTTTTTTAAATATTTCGAACAATATTTGATGTATAACAGTGAAAATTGGTATACAAGGGTTTTTTGGTACGACAAAACGAACCATGGGCATATTTTTACTGTAGCCGCTATAGGGCGCTCTCTACTGTACCTGTAGTGTATTAAAATGACCGACAAAATTTTCTTAGTGCAATTTTTTGCTTTTTGAATAAAAAAACTGATTGTTCGCATTTTTCTGCATAAAAAAGCTCTCCTGTGAGTTTTCGTTAGTTAGCTGTTTTTGAGATATTTCGATTTTTAAGGTTCGATGCATTTTTAATTATTTATGGGAAAATAATATTTTTTTTACATTTTCGATTTGGGCATTACAAGTAATTAAGATGATCGTTTAGATTGTGTTTTTAAACACAGCAATAATTCCTAACTCCAAATAAACACAAAAAAAACAGAATATTAATTTGTTTAATTTTCCAATATTATTTTTAACAAATTAAATTAATTATTTACAATTAAAATGCTATTGGATAGTTAGGATAAACATACAAAATCTAAAGTAGTTGCTCGAAATGTAAACCCAATTGTTCAATACACAATTCACATCTACGAATGATCGTACGTGGTATAGCATTATTCAAATAAGGCCTTATTTCATCACATGCATTCCTGATTCTGTCTATTAGCATATCTCTTGTGGTTACGGGAGTCTGGTACACTGTTTCTTTTAGAAATCCCCACACAAATAAATCTAATGGATTTAGGTCAGGGGATCGTGGAGGCCAGGCGACTGGTCCTCCACGGCCGATCCATCTTTCTGGATAATTTTCGTCCAGCCAGTTTCTAACTATTCTCGAATAATAAGCTGGACAACCATCAAGCTGGAACCAGGCCAATCTTCTTAAATCTAACATAACATCATCCCACATATTTGCATGTTCAGCCTTTAAAAATTCCAAGAAAGTCGCAGCATTTAACCTTGCAGGCAAAAGGTAGGGTCCAAATAGTCGATTACGGTAGATACCAATCCACACGTTCACACTAAATCCATGCTGCAAATTTCTTTCCCGAACTGCATGCGGATTTTCATGCGACCAAATATGTTGATTATGAAAATTTACCACTCCACGTCTAGTGAAGCATGACTCATCGGTCCATAAAACGTTACTTAAAAACTCCCTATTATTATCAGTTCTATCAAGAATCCACTGACAAAATGTGATTCTTCGTTCTCCGTCCCCTGGCTGTAGTCCTTGCAAAGGTTGCAAATGGTAAGGACGTCTATGGTCATTTCTAAGAACACGGTGAACATGGCTTGATGAAATTCCCAAGGCGCCAGAAACTCTCCTAACACTTGTGGTCGGATCTCTATCAAACTCACGCAGAATCATACGGGTAAATCTGCGCTGACGAACATTTATGTTTTGATCCCTTTGGAGATTTCCAAAACCATTTTCAATTATTTGGCGATGCACTCTTACAAATACTGAGCGAGTTGGATGTCGTCTGTTTGGAAATCTTAATGCGTATTCTCTGGCTGCTTCTGCTGCGTTTCCATTTACAAAGCCATACACAAAATGAATATCCGCTAACTCTTGATTGGAGAATAAAAATGGCATTTTTATAAAACTTACAAAAAAAACAGGTAAAAGAAACTAAATTTCGTGCATTCACAATTGCAAAAGAACGTTTCAGGTTTCAACATACAACAAAACTAACTGTCAACTAATCGACGTTTAACCTTATTCTGCTTTCAATTTCAAAAATATTTGCGGGCACAGCCTACTTCTAAAAATTATCGAGATACTGACTTTTTAACGTTATTTCATCATAAATAATTAAAAATGCATGGAACCTTAAAAATCGTAATATCCCAAAAACGGCTAACTATAACGAAAATTCACAAGAGAGCTTTTTTATGTTGAAAAGTGCGAAGAATCAGTTTTTTTATTCAAAAAGCAAAAAAATGCACTAAGAAAAATTTTTCGGTCATTTTAATACACTACTGGTACAGTAGAGAGCGCCCTCTAGCGGCTACAGTAAAACTATGCCCATGGTTCGTTTTGTCGTACCAAAAAACCCTTGTATACCAATTTTCACTGTTATACATCAAATATTGCTCGAAATATTTAAAAAAAAACTATTTTAGAAAGTAAATCTAAACACCCTGTATTTCGGAAGCCACGCATTTTTTGACCCATGTTTATATAGACTTTATGCATTAATTTTAAAAGTTCTATCGAATCTTAAAGTTATGCAACAATAAACTGAAACACCCCGTATAATACGTCATATATCGACATTGGCAAACCTTAAAACTGCTACACACAGTGCCGGCGGCAATGCCGCCGGCAATACAAGCCGCCGGCACAAGCCGTCAAGCATCATTCCAGTGTGACAGTAACATAGAAAGCTAGTGAAGTGCTGCATTTCTGGGATTCCATAATATATCATTTTCATGAAATTTTTCAATTAAGAGCAGCACAGCTTCGTCGTCCCAATTAAACGACATTTTAATTTGTTTAAACACACAAACCGTACAACAGTACCGCTCGAATGCCAGGAACGAAGTGACGCCGGCAAGCCGCGTAACCCGCCGGCACACCACGGCAGCTCCTTTGCGCGACAATGCCGGCGGCTTTGTATGCCGCCGGGTGCACGGCGGCTTAGCCGGCGGCTTGCCCAGCGGCCCTGCCGCCGGCTCTGTGTGTAGCAGCCTTTAGTTATTTCAAAAAAATAAAATTTCCTAGGTTAGGCCTCAAATTTATCGGTTAGAAATTTGTTTCGTATACCGGATTTATTGTAAAATCGTTGTTTATTTCTTGGTTTTACTTTAAAATAAATATCATATCAGCATCGCAATTGGACGTTTCTGCTCTCGATCTCCATCATAAACACTGTTTTTTCTTATGGACTCTATATTGAAATTTTGCGCAATCGAATACAATTTGTGATTCTGCATCTAGTTATGAATAAAATACGTTTATTTGTATCACGATAAGCCTGACATATTTAATTAAAGTTATATTATTGTTAGCAGTACTCAAATTCCAATTTCAAAATTGTAGAGAAAACAAAGTGGCGATGACAGCATGCAACTTATTTTCAAATCCCATCTTAAATGAAGCCAAAAAATTACTATCTAATAATTTTCAAGGACTACACAGGGAATTCTGTAATTTTTTTAAATCAACTAATTTTTGGCAATGTATGACACGGTATACATTTTTGTAATCAGAATTAAAAACTCTATTCATCTGTGCAAAAATTCGATATTGCGTCCATAAGAAAAAATTAAATTGATGCTGGAGAACAATAGACGAAACGTCATATTGAAATTATGATTACGCCATCTTGAAGAGGAGAAATAGTGATAATGTTAATGTGCAATTAATTTTGAAATCCCACTTAACGTAAAGTCAAAAATTCAATCGATTTTGGGAAAATTTTTTTTTCGCATTTTTCGGAAGTAATTTGGATTTCACAACTTTCTACGCGGCATTTTGCTAGTTATCCGTATCGACTCCGTATCTCTTGCCGTTTCAGAGATCATTTAAAACACCCGGTATACCACCAATCATGTATTTGCACAAGCTGCTCCTACTCAACATTCTTGTCGCCGTTCTCTGACGTGATTGGGCATAGCTCACTTTGCCTTTTTGACTCCAATGCTCAACTGGTACTTATTAAAATCAGGCTTCCTCCTAACGACATAGTAAAAATGTACAATTTCTCCGATGAACGTACATATACTAACACAATATCCTATCGCCAAAGCTACCAAAGCCCCAGAGAATTTTTTCGCATTCATCAACGCCTTAGATATGTCCTTGTCTTCCTTGTGAACCTCAGCATTCAACACTTTTTGCATTGCGTCATCGAGCCATTTGGTGATCAAACCTGCTTCCAGAATTCGTCTTATGTACTTATTGAATCGAGGTGTCAGTGGAGAGTTCTTCTGTAATCCTAGAAGAATAGACAAGCATGTTGATGTTTTACGTACCATACCCTAGTATACAGGATCTTAAAGTACCTGGTCAAAGTTCAAGGGGTTATTCCTTGTGTAGTTCTAAGAAGAAGCATTCATATGTCTCGTTTATACAGGGAAATCCAAATTTGTCTGTAGGCCTGAGTTCAATCTACAGAACGAGACAGAAGCCGGCTGAAGAGCCATCTATGTTAAAGAAAATTTTAAGTACGATATAGCCTCTAAAGAGGATCTGCTGCTACCCAGCATTTAAGGTCATCATTCCAACTAACAACCACTGTAGCTCACAGGTTGTCGTTGACTTCAAAAAGTTCCACGATTACGCTACCCAGGGAGTATAATAAATTACCAGAATGTATAAAGAGTATCCAATCGGTAACACTTTTTAAAAGAAATGTCAGGGAATTTTTTGTATACTATCCTCTATATTCATTAAATGATTTGACACTTATTAGATGTTTCCTATAGTGCTGTATTTTTAAAGGTGATTGTACCATTTTTACTAGCTTGTGATCTTTGACAATTCCAACACTCTGTTGTGGAGTCTCGTGGAAATAAAAATATTATTATTATTGTAGATCGTGAGTAATTATTACATTTTGCAACAGCGAGCGCTCGGAAAATTTAACAAATACCATTACGCAATACAAATTATCACTGACTGCGTGTACGCAGGTGAAAACAGGACGACACTCTCCAGAAAGCGCTAGATGGGTACTGACCAACATCGCTCATCTATGATCATGGGGGTGGAAACCATACCTTGGCATGTACGAGATGCGCTGTTGCCATGCGAACCGATAATGCAGAATTTCTGGCCATCCTGACCTTTCATTTCGACCTAAAATGGAGCGCCGTTAGGATCGATTCTAAACAGATTCTTCACAATTCAAAAATTTGTTCACACATATAAAACCATTATTTGGGTGTAGAGATTGAACTAACGCATATTTTCAACAGACATCGTAATTCAAGGAGCTGGAGTAACATATCGGCAATAAGGCACATTGCCGCGTCAGCGTTGCTAAGCAATGCGGTGATGAGCTTCGCTATCCAGCCGGCTTCTATCTCTTTCTAACATATGTGTCTATATACATTTCTCTCTCGTGCACATTGAAATCAAGCCGTCAAACAAATTTAGTTTTCAGTGTATATATACTAAGTGACATATAAATCCGAACACCCAGTTTAAATGGTTTTATTTTAATAAAAGTTGGTGAATGTATTTATCTTACTGTAAATAACAAGTGAAAAAATGTTCAGCCTTATCAGTTGGACGGTTTTTATACTGCTTTTTTTTAATTCACTAACGCTCTAAAAATGAATATTTCAGCCGCAGTAAAGAATCAACTTTGGCGGATTTTGGTTCTTGACATCCTTCACGATCGGTTACGATCCCTAGAGTACGGAGACCTGTACGATTTCGTCAACTTAGTGAGTTTGATAGGGGCCGTATATTGGGACTTCGGGAAGCTGGACTTTCTTTTCGGGCAATTGCCGTAAGAGTGCAAAGAAGTGTAGACACTGTGGTTAGGTGTTGTCAGGCATGGCTTCGAGAAGGCCGTACGCAAAGAGCAAGGGGCACTGGACGCCGCCGTAGAACATCAGACCGTGAAGATCGCCGCCTAAGATTATTGACCTTAAGGGACCGTTTCTCCACTACCAGGTCCATTGCAAATGAATGGTTTGCAGAACACGGAAGACCTATTGGCATGCGAAGTGTTTACCGACGAATGAGAAGTTTTGGCTTGTTTTCATACCGGCCACACTGGGTCCTCCCTTTAACTCGAGAACACCGACGTAATCGCCTTGAGTGGTGCAGACAACGGTCACTCTGGGATCAGGAATGGAACCGTATTGTCTTTAGTGATGAGTCTCGATTTTGTTTAGGCATGCACGATGGTCGTGCCAGGGTTAGAAGGCGACGTGGTGAAAGGAGGAATCCACAGTTTTTTGTTGAAAGACATGTTCATCACACTGTTGGAGTTATGGTTTGGGGTGCTATAGCTTATGATTCCAGGTCACCTTTAATCTTCATTAGAGGTAACATGAACGCGCAGCGTTATATCCACGAAGTTCTAGAACCCCATCTTTTACCCTATCTTGACACCCTGGCAGATCCAACTTTCCAACAAGATAATGCCCGACCACATGTTTCAAGAGTCACAATAGACTTCTTTCAACATAATGATGTCACATTGTTACCATGGCCACCAAGATCTCCCGACTTATCCCCAATTGAGCACGTGTGGGATATGATGGGTAGGAGATTGCTCAATTTGCAACGTCTTCCTCAGACTCTAGAAGCACTTCGAGAGGAGTTGTTGGTTGCCTGGAATGAGATACCACAGGAGGACATTGACCACCTGATCAGAACCATGCCTAGGCGCGTTGGAGAATGCGTAGCACATCAGGGTGCATCCACACATTATTAAAGGTCAAAGGACTTTAAAGCAGTGCAATCATTTTGAAATTTTTATCATTTACTTATTATGCTTCATTAAGTACTTATACAAAATTTTATTAAAATAAAACCATTTAAACTGGGATTTATATGTCACTGAGTATATTTTGACGAGTTCTACAAGCTGTTAAAATAAATAACTCAACTTTGAAAACACCCTGTATATACTACTACTTATTATGCTTCATTAAGTACTTATACAAAATTTTATTAAAATAAAACCATTTAAACTGGGTGTTCGGATTTATGTCACTTAGTATAGATAGAAAGAATATCAAACCTATAGACACCGGCATGTTGATGATACAGTCCCTCATTATATGCAGTGCTCTATCATTCAAGTTACTAATGCTCTGCAAGTCATCATTGGTAGTGTTCTCGCTGCTCAACGAGCTTCTCTGAAAATAGAACTTCTGTTGCCTTTTAACTGCAGCTTCTTTAAGATAATACGTGTTCTCATAGAATGCGAAGGTGGCAGCAGCAACTCTGTCCACAGCATCTTCAGAATTATTCACCATCACGAAATTCTTGGATATCATCTGGATTGTCGGATCGGTGGACATTTTGAAAAAGTCTCGGTTGATCTCTCCCCACCCTCCATATGTCAATCTGCTGGCTACTAGTTCTTGGAGGGTGTCAATTGTCACCCTACGAAAGCCGTGAAAACGTTAAAATCCTTATTTTGGTAATTCAGGTAGAATAAAAAGACAATGACGAGAGGCTCAGCCGTTAAACTGAAAAATATCTATTATTTTATAATGGTTCTGTGAAAACCTATATCAAAGATTCAGATTAATTCATTCTTCTAGTTGGATCTACATTGATATGTAAGTCGGTATACCGGGTGTTTTAAGTTCGACCTCCGCCATTGGTAAGAGATAGATACCAAGTAGATTAAATAGGGGCAAAGTGGCGTCTTTAGGTGACTTGCAAAATGTCGCTTAGAAAGTTTCAAAATTAAGTGTACTTCGGGAGTGAGACGGAAAAAAACGTATCTTCCCAAAATCGTTTTAATGTTGTCCTAACTTTATTTGTAGTGGGATTTTAAAATAAATGGCACATTAATTGCCACCTTTTCTCCTCTACAAGATGGAACAATTAGAATATCAGTATGACAACTTTGTTTTTACAAATTAGATTTTTACACGGCTGAATAGAGTTTTTCATTATGATTCCAAAAATGTATAATAAGTTATACGCTGACATTGACAAACCTTAGTTGTTTAAAAAAAAGCAGAATTTCCTAGGTAGGCCTAGAAATTACCATCATTAATCATATATTTTGTAAATCAGATTTATCGCAAAATGTTTTATTCTTCCTCACTTTACATGTAAGTAGTAGTAAGTAAGTAAGAAGTAAATTACATGTTGTCATTGACACTTTTCCTCCTATACAGGGTGCGGCAGAGAGGATGGACGGTTTTGAAAAAATCATATAATAGTTAATTTTTACTCGAAAACAAATTTATTGATGGAATCAGGTTCACAAGGAAATAGCATTTGAGACAGTCAAGTGTGGAAAATCACATCAGGCATGTGGTGGCCGAAATCGTTGATGCAGTGCTGGAGGCGTTCTTGGAAGTTCGCGTAGACTCTCTCCAACATCGCTCTCTCAACTTGGGCGACTTCCACGAGAATTTCGCCCTTCAATTCGTCCAGAGTTCGGAGCTTGTTCGCGTATACTCTAGCCGGTAACGACCATTACCGTCTTCGAAGAAGTAAGGGCCAATGATGCAAGTTTGCGATACAGCCCACCAAACCATTACTTTTGGGCTGTGCAGCGGTCTTTCGTGTAAAGGTTGCGGATTTTCATTAGCCCAATAACGACAATTCTGCTGGTTAACCATGCTGTTTAGGTGAAAGTGGGCTTCGTCACTCATAGGCGAAAACGCGGTGCTATACCGTCCAAGGCTCCATAACGACGACTGGTAAAATAATGCTAGGATCTCACGAGTCAAACGGCACCCTCCCCACCTCTCTCGCAGACGGAGGCGGAGAGTACTAACCATCCCAAAAACGTCCGTCCTCTCTGCCGCACCCTGTAGAAAATGGTGTAGTTACATTTTTATTTCGGGGTTCCTTCTTTCGACTTCGACCACCAACTTTGTTTTTTCAAATAGACGCTATATCTGAATCTTTCACATTTAAATGAAAGTATCAGTTCTAAGTTTAGTGATATAGTTTCTAAGTTGGCCATGCATTAATTGTTAGAACGAAAATTACCGGCAAATGAAAAAGGAAAGTGAAACCTGAACCCAGCTGAAAATTTTATTGATGGAAATAACAATAATAATCATAAATAAGCAGAGATAAATCATAGCACATGCTTAAAATGTCTGTTATTCATTCTATGTACATCGCTCACTTCTCGATCTATTCTTCTCAGTTTTCCAAACTCTGTTACTAGGTTCAGTTTGAGGTCTGGTCTGGTATAGAAATAAATTACTATCTGATAATTTCAAGACCTACCTAGGTACTTCTATACTAAGTGACATATAAATCCGAACACTCAGTTTAAATGGTTTTATTTTAATAAAATTTTGTATAAGTACTTAATGAAGCATAATAAGTAAATGATAAAAATTTCAAAATGATTGCACTGCTTTAAAGCCCTTTGACCTTTAATAATATGTGGATGCACCCTGATGTGCTACGCATTCTCCAACGCGCCTAGGCATGCTTCTGATCAGGTGGTCAATGTCCTCCTGTGGTATCTCATTCCAAGCAACCACCAACTCCTCCCGAAGTGCTTCTAGAGTCTGAGGAGGACGTTGCAAATTGAGCAATCTCCTACCCATCATATCCCACACGTGCTCAATTGGGGATAAGTCGGGAGATCTTGGTGGCCATGGTAACAATGTGACATCATTATGTTGATAGAAGTCTATTGTGACTCTTGCAACATGTGGTCGGGCATTATCTTGTTGGAAAGTTGGATCTGCCAGGGTGTCAAGATAGGGTACAAGATGGGGTTCTAGAACTTCGTGGATATAACGCTGCGCGTTCATGTTACCTCTGATGAAGATTAAAGGTGACCTGGAACCATAAGCTATAGCACCCCAAACCATAACTCCAACAGTGTGATGAACATGTCTTTCAACAAAAAACTGTGGATTCCTCCTTTCACCACGTCGCCTTCTAACCCTGGCACGACCATCGTGCATGCCTAAACAAAATCGAGACTCGTCACTAATGACAATACTGTTCCATTCCTGATCCCAGAGTGACCGTTGTCTGCACCACTCAAGGCGATTACGTCGGTGTTCTAGAGTTAAAGGGAGGACCCAGTGTGGCCGGTATGAAAACAAGCCAAAACTTCTCATTCGTCGGTAAACACTTCGCATGCCAATAGGTCTTCCGTGTTCTGCAAACCATTCCTTGCAATGGACCTGGTAGTGGAGAAACGGTCCCTTTGGCGGCGATCTTCACGGTCTGTTGTTCTACGGCGGCGTCCAGTGCCCCTTGCTCTTTGCGTACGGCCTTCTCGAAGCCATGCCTGACAACATCTAACCACAGTGTCTACACTTCTTTGCACTCTAACTGCAATTGCCCGAAAAGAAAGTCTAGCTTCCCGAAGTCCCACTATACGGCCCCTATCAAACTCACTAAGTTGACGAAATCGTACAGGTCTCCGTACTCTAGGCATCGTAACCGATCGTAAAGGATGTCAAGAACCAAAATCCGCCAACGTTGATTCTTTACTGCGGCTTAAATATTCATTTTTAGAGCCTTAGTGAATTAAAAAAAAGCAGTATAAAAACCGGAATTTCCAACTGATAAGGATGAAAATTTTTTCACTTGTTATTTACAGTAAGATAAATACATTCACCAACTTTTATTAAAATAAAACCATTTAAACTGGGTGTTCGGATTTATATGTTACTTAGTATATTTTCTGGAATAACTAAGGTGTGGCAATGTCTATGTATGACCTATTATACATTTTTGAAACCAGAACTAAAAACTCTATTTATCTGCGCAAAAGTCCAATATGGCGACCATAAAGAATAAACTTTATGCTGGAGAACAAGAGACGAAACACCACCATATTGAGATTCAATTGGGCCACCTTGTAGAGGAGACGAAGTGGTAATCCCGCAACTAATAACCAAAAAAATTGAACGATTTTGGAAAAATTCTTTTTTTTTTTCTCTCCTGAAGTTCCTTTAATTTTAAAACTTCTTCAGCGCCATTTTGTTAGTTACTTAAATACGCAGCTTTGCCCGCATTTAAACGACTTCGTATCTCTTACCGTTTCCGACATTCCACTGAAGAGGATCGAATTGGAAACACAGATTATAGTATAGATAAAATGAAGTACAATACAAGCAACAATGGTACCACAAAAAACAATGTGATACATAAGTCGGTAACAATTTACAGTTTATTAAGATCTACATAGCTGTTTTCCAGTGACCCTGTTGACTTACTCTGAGTAACACGGAGTAACCCAGTAGCACTTAGCACCAATACCGTTAAATTGCACGTTGTATTCTCATGCATTGTTTCTGGAGCAGTTCGGGAGCGTATCACTCTCAAACCAAAGCCACTTGAAAGCAGCTCAGGAGCATTGTATGTGACAAATATCAGTCAAGTCATACAAGCCACAATTGGATAGCTTGTTTCGCAAATGTATCTTAAAATGTCCTATTAAGTTTACGTTTTTACTCTCTGGTGGTAATATGTTAAGAAAGTATGTCCCTGCTGTTATGGGAGATTTTAAATGAAATGGATGGTAAGTCCCAGGCCAACTGTATCATTTTTTTTTAAATGCTGAGGTCATGCAGGTCGTATGCTTAAGATAGTCATCTATGCCAAAAAATGTATGTTAAAAGTTTGTAAAGATATATACATGCCCCTGTGAGTATTTTATGTTTAACAAATGTCTCACGGCAAGAAGATCTACACCGTATTTTAAATATAGTGCAAGTGATTCTTTTTTGTAAAACACTCTAGAGATTTTCTTAGCCTAAGTTCAAAATACAAGCTTTTTCCAAGCTTCTTACATACGCAATCAGTTTGATCAATTATTTCAAATTACAATCAAAGCTTACTCATAGAATCACATTAGATGTTACAAGTGTATTAAATTGAAGATTGAAATTGGGATTTAAGAGAAGTTTCGGTTCCATAATTTAATTGATGGCTAAAAATACAGGAAACGATTCTTTAGATTATTTCATTAGGAAAAGTTTATAATAATATCCTTTAGGAACCAAATGAACATATGTCCTGGAGCTCTTAACTTTTGAGCTGCAAGGTGTTAAAATTTTAAGAAAAAAACCGTTTTCTTATAATAACTTCAATCCTGTTCTAGATATTTTCATGAAATTTGACAAGCACCTAACAAGCACCAATAGGCATTTTTTGATGAAGAAGATTTCTTAATATTTCTACCGTGGCGTCTGTACGGGATGTATACTGGAGATTTAAAAAAAATTTGATACGCCATTGCTTTTTTCAAAAATACGAATCATTTTTGTAAACCTCATTTATTTTACACCTAATTTCACCTCCTGACTGTTTTCCGTTCGATACGTAAAACATAAAAAGCATCTTCATACATTGGTGGTACAGGGTGCGGCAGAGAGGACGGGCATTTTTGGGATGGGTAGTACTCTCCGCCTCCGTCTACGAGAGAGGTGGGGAGGGTGCCGTTTGACTCGTGAGATCCTAGCATTATTTTACCAGTTGTCGTTATGGAGCCTTGGACGAAAAACGCTATATTTGATATAAAAATACTCTTTATTGTTGAAGCTAGTTTTTCCCGCAATTCCATTCGAAATTTCCATAATAATCATGTATGGGCCGAAAAAAAATTATACGCCACTACGGAGGCACTTCATCAGGAGCAGTTTTCCGTGAATGTGTGGGCTGGAATAGTTGGAGATTCCCTCATATCACGTAAACTTCACGTGATCGGGCTCCAGAACGCCGAGCACGTTACAGGGCCGTAGTAAAGAATAAACGATTTGTGCTTCTACGACACTGTCAAAAAGTATGCAAAATTATTGCAGGCATGTATAGGGTCCAAAGGTGAAGCTTGGAAATAATTAATTTTTTTAATTTAACTGTCATGACCAAAAATTAAACAACTGTCTATTGTTGTTTTTAGTAAAAGTGTTTTATCAAGAAATTATACTCGAAATGTGTAGTAACGCGCATTAATAAAGCGGGCTTTTAAAAAATGTCTTGACACATTAAAACGATAATTGCATATGCAAACAAGTATACCTAACCACCGCTTGAACAGGGACGTCTGTGTGCAAACAGTTAATTTTAATATTAGACTAAAAAATGAATAGTTAGGTGGAATTGAAAGAAAAAGGAATTTATTACAGAGACATTTTACCTCTAAAACCTGAAATACATATATTTGAAAATGAAAATCATTCTAGATCTGAGGCCGTGGAACTCCCATTGTCATCAAGATTTATGATTGAAGGGGCAACGTGAGTATAAATGATACCGTCTGATTCCACATTTTAGGTTCGACCTTTTCTTTTACATGCTGATACATTTTCCCACTTATTCGGTCTTATTCTTTGTACGAGTATAGCATCATGAAAAATATGTTAAGGTCAGAAAATTTAAAACATTTATTTTCTACTGCAACATATTTTTTTATGTCTGGCCAAATGAGCTCAATCGGATAGACCTCACAATGGTAAGGAGGCAGTCGTAAAACAGTTTTATTTTGTTTTTTGGCCGTTTCATCAATTATGTTCAGGTTATATTTATTTTTATGCGTCTTGACAATTCTGCCTTAACCGTTGTATCATCATAATCAATCTTTTTATTTTTAAGCCGTCCTTGAATTTTTTATTTTTTTGCTGACGTTGTTGGAATTTTCTCTAATTTTCTGATGTGGAATGAAGCATTATCTAATACTATAACTGAATTATCTTCTAGATTCGGTAGAGTATTTGAGAACCAACTTTCGAACGAGGCTCCATCCATTTCTTCATGGTAGTCTCCCGTTTCTTTGGATTCAAATGCCCAAAAAGCATCAGACATAAATCCATCTTCATTCCCGATGTGGCAAATTATCCATCGCTTACATTTTCTTAAAAATAATTCATTTTGGACACTTTAAAATCGCTCCTATTGAAAGCATTAAAAACCCAACAAAATGATTGCTTGATTTCAAATCTCGGTATAGTTTAAGCATGTACAAAAACAAAAATAAAATATAATTTTAGTTGAAATTAATCGTCTTACAAGTATTGAAAAATATATAGGTGTCAGATGTGCAATGTCCTGAACACTTGAGTCACTCCTTTTCCTTGCATTCCGTAGTTATAAATGTTGATAATTATTTGTTTTTCGCTAGCACTAAAATGAAGCCTTTTAGCTCTTTTTTAGGCGGTGTGCAGCTTATATCAACAACTTCATCAGCTGTATCCGTATCAGATATTTTGAGTTCTATGAAATTAAACTGACAAATCTAATAGGCACACAGTAATACCAGTATAAATCTGATGCGAACTCTGTACTGTACGGCCAGCCACCGAGACAGCCTGCATGCACGGTCGTATCGTCTCCCACTCCACCCTCTGGTTTGTCATTGGTTTTGTATGAGAACTCAACCTATTCTGGCCAACAGTTATGGTCCCTCTCTTGAAATATAGCAGTGTACTGATCACGCAATAATCACGCGATAATCACTGTTTTGGTTTAGTCTCTTTCTTCGATACATACATAGTAGGACCGTTCTTCCTTCCAGGACGACTGGGTGGACTAACCTATCGTCACTTTCTTGAAAAGGATTTGCCAATTTTGCTCGAGGATGTACCTCTTTTATTAAAAGAAGAAATGTGGTACGTGCATGATGGTGCTGCTGCACATTTTAGCATTTCTAAATGAAGCTTTTACGAATCGCTGGATAGGACGTGGTCTTGGCCTCCCAGGTCCACTGACTTGAATAATTTAGACTTTTGCTTGTGGAGCGCCTCAAGACTTTAGTTTATACTTCACCGGTTCAAAGTGTAGAGGAACTAAGGCAGAAAATTTTACTATCTTGCCAAACCATAAAAAATTTACCAAAAATTTTTGAAAGGAGATCCATGAAAAAGAGAATTCAAGCCTGTATTCTAGCAGAAGGAGGACATTTTCAACAATTCTTGTGATAATTAAATTAAACAGTTTATTTGATCCACAGAAATTGTCAAAACTTGTTGCAAACTTGTTTTTTAATTTTCATTCATGGCAAAATCGCTAAAATCTCATGTGGTAGTTTGTGGTGGGTAAGATGTGTTTTTGTATAATTTTTATTCAAGTAAAGTCAAATGATTAAAACAGCCAAAATGGTTTTTTTACGCGAAAACGGTGCATCGAACGGAAACAACTCAAGAGGTCAAATTTGTTGCAAAATAAATGGGGATTTCATAAAGGATTTTTCTTTTCGAATAAAGCAATGGTTTACCATATTTTCTTGAAAAATACGGACGCACGCCACTGGTAGAAACCTTAAAAAATATTCTACATCAAAAAATGCCTATTGGTTCTTAGAGGTGCATGACAAATTTAAATATTATTTATAAAGCTATGATAAGAAAATGAATTTTTTCTTGAAATTTCAACACCCTGTAGCTCAAAAGTGTTCTTCTTAAAGTGAGCTAAGGAATCATATCCTGTATTTTTAGCCATCAATTAAATTACACCCTGTATATTCAACTAATACAGTCTTTGTTGTGTTTATTATTAGTCTATTTTTAAAGCACTATTGCCTGAAGTCATTAATCGATTTATTAATTTTCTTTTCAAGGCGCACTTGCGTTGAGCCAGCTAAAATAATATTTGTGTCCTCTGCTCCCAATTTTCCTAAGCAAGTCATTTATAAGAATTGAGAGCGTGAGAGGTCCGAGTAGCATAGCTCATCGTCCGCCACTGCTCGCGCAATGTGCCTTCTGTACGTATGTGCGGATCTCACTTTACTCAAAGACGCACCGCGTTAACAGTGGCGTACGATGCGTTTAGTTTTGCTACTTGACTATAGTCGATTCAAATGCTTACTTTGGAGCCGGTTTCGCCAAGATAGCGGTCATACTAGCTCTGTAAGATGTAGCTAGTAACAAGCAGTACAACCAATACCACCCTGTAAACATCCTCAACGACCAACCAAAAGGCAGTTTAGGGAGTGATACCAACAATAACATACTGTAAGTATACAAAAAGCTGTTTACAGGTTCTGTGAACTGGTACAAACCAGTTGGTTCCTCCGTTTCTTTTTCAGATTCTAGTTGCTGTTTCAGCATGGTATATTTCACGTTAGAATCTTTTTTCTCCGCTTCCGGTATTATAAACAGATTGATTACGTCTCTGTGCTTTGGTTTGGACGTCGCTTCCAATTTTTGGTTGGTCATCTGTTTTTCGACATTCTTGGTATACTGATGGTATCGCGCCAGAAGGTGGAAGGTCACAACGCAGAAGACGAGGCATACCAAGACTAGGGCCCATGTGATGCCACTGCAAGTAAATAGTACATTACATACCTAGGTTGAGAAATAAGTCCTTATTGGTCGAGCGCTTTTGTATCCTGAGTCCCATAGGACCGAGGGATATAATGTGAGAGATCAATAATGGTCATTTCAAATATGTACAGGGTGTCCGAACCGTGCGAGGGGGGAGTATTGCTCCTAAACAAAAAGTTATTGGATTACTGTATGGAGTGGAAGAAACACTGTGACTATGTAATAACGAGGCTCAATTCATTATATTATCTATTATTAAATCTAAGAGGTATTCTACCATTAAATCAATTGATTATTTTGTATCATGTACAGGTTGACTCTGTTGTACGATATTGCATACCATTTTTTGGATCTCTAGTCATTCAAAGGATGTATTTACGAAACATGTGATCTCTACATGATGTTAGTGATAGAACATCATATAGAGATCTGTTTGAGAGATTCAAAGTACTAACACTTACTGGTGTATACAGGGTGGCCCATCCATGTGTGGACGGAATATTACTCATAAACAAATGCATTTCGGGAAAATCTATTAATGGGATGTTATACATGATATTTGAGGGAACATTTCTAAAATATTGGTTATTATACAGGGTGTCCCAATTTTAACCTACATATCAAAGTTGTGATTTTTCAAATGGAATACCTCAAATTTTATTGCATATTTTCATAAACCCAAGTCAAAAAAAGAAAATTGATATAACATTCTATGGGATTTTGGTAATTAGCTACTGGGATATAAGGTGTTTTGTCTAGAAAAACCCCCCACTTCGGCAACATCTCAGTCCGCCATTTTGAAATTTGGAGTGCTGAACTTTGTATAAAAAAACTTACATACCTCAGCTTTTATTTGTTACTTTTTCGAATTTAATTTTGGCTCATACATGGTGGTCAAAAACGCAAATTGTAGTTTTTCTCAAAAATTTCAAATGCATCACCCTGTATATTGGTGCAAGTTTGGATTCAATTTTTATAAGCTTTTTTATAAGTAGTAGTCGTAATATTCCGTCCACACATGGATGGGCCACCCTGTATAATAATCCATAAATAGTGTTCTTCGAAAACTTTTGGTCTAGGAACAATACTCCATTCTCGCAAGGTTGTATCACCCTGTATATAACTTTTCCACTAATAACACTATACGATACAACCACTAGATTCGATTTCATATGATTTGGATATTTTCATTATACAGTGTCAAATGACCTCCACGTAAATCAACTATCAGTTTATAAATACTTTGAAACCCAATTCTGATAGAAGCTGATTTGAAACTTAAAAAATAGCGTCATCTAGAAATTGAATAGATCAAGTGATTCAAATAGGTCTATACAACTAGCCATCAATTCTCACCCATTTGACAAGCAAGGATTACGTTGCGATCAGAATTGCGATGAATGAACCTCCAGCGACAGCGGTAACCTCACTATAAGCTTAACACCTATTTTTGTTTCGCTCCATACGAGCATCAAAACATTTCTATCACTGTGTTCAGGCAAATATACGAGGAAATATGTGTAATAGGTATGTATGATTACCGAGGATAAAAGCGTATGAATATACAGTGTGTCTCAAATTCGCTTCTCGATACAAGCATATCGGCTCCTGTTATACCTACATCAAAGACTAAATGGGGGGAGGTTTAGAGGAAACTTAGGGCTTCAGATTTACGATCGGTCAATTGGTTTTGAAAATATCAGCGAAAAAAAGAAAATAGCAGAGTTTGTTTTTTACCAGTATATCCATCCAAAACTGTTAATTTGACAGCTGTCAAAATGTGACACTATTCGGACATTTTTTAAGAAAAATAAGAAAGCATATATGGCATGTCTCAATCGCCTTTTGTTTTCCAGCAACCCGCCTCAACTTTCATTTTTCTTCTGGCCGCCACATTGTTTTTTTTTTTATTTTTAGAAAGAGTGTAAAATTTCCAGTCTAGTGATGTCTCACAAGTGCATAAAAGATTGGAGTATCACCGAAATATCATCACACGTAATGTTATGTATTAGTTTTTTCTAAGGAGGTCATGATTTATTTGTCAGAAAATAAGATAAAAGCATGAGAGAGAGAGAGAGAAGTAAAATGTAAAACCTTTAGATAAAACTTACTGGAAAGGTCTGATCAATGTCTTCCAGGATACATCGGTGAGAGACTCGGGCACCAAAAAAGTTAAGCATTCTGTATTGTATGGTGAGCTCAAATCCATGACGTCTAGCAAGAACGAAGTGTAATACAAATCGCCTAGAGCGATATCAGCTTTTATGGCAACCATTTCTCCTATAACCCCTGTATATACTCCACCTGGTCTCTTACGGCCCCACAGTTCAGTTTCAACGTTTTCTGGTTCGTACAGTTCGCAAAAGAAGTTCATTGCTTTGGATATAGTGTATAGTATCTGAAATGTAACAGCAAATAAAACTGGATAGCTATCACGAGCTATACGAAATTCTCAGTTCTTTGTACTTTCTCAGGTGCCCGTATAAGGACTCCTTCTTTCTATATAATAAACTGATATCTAGAAAACATTGGATTTTTTTTATAAAAAGGTAAAGTCGACGATTCTCTAAAAAATATTACTACAAAACTCATCCCCCGATTTGAATGCCACCATCGACCATTTGAACCAAACTTAAACAAGGGGGAAACCTCGATACACATGGAGGAAGCTTACTTGAAATAGATATCAGAATTTCGAACTAAATATGTAATTGGAAAATAATGTGAGCCTGTTATCAAATTATGCGGTGTTGCTGCATTTTGTGGTGCAAAAGATTTTTGTAACTGGACCTACCTCTATCTCGACGCCATTGAGAAAATAGGTTATATTGGACTCCAAGTCATTAATACCGATTGTAGCTCTATAACCCTCAAAACTGGATATATTTGTCTTTGTAACTCCAGGTAAATGTTGAAACGCAACAACTTTGAGCGTCTGATTTTGAAGATCGGCTGTCTTGTCTCTGAATAAGCTGACACCTTCAACAATCAACATACATGGAAATATTTTTTTTTAAATATCGCAGTCATTCGAGGAAGGAACCGTATTAGGACCAATGCTGTTTAATTTATATATTAATGACCTTTTTAAGTTAAAACACGATGGAGAAAATATTGGTTTCGCAGACAATACGGCAATTATTTACTCAGACAAAGATTGGATTTTAAAAAAATAAAATTGTATTAGATTTTCAAAAGGTTACAATTTTTTTCACGGAAAGCATTTTAACAATCAATTTCAACAAAACATACTTTGTTACATTTTCTTGCGACAACAGATCTTCCCCAAATTTTAATCAACTGCAAATTAAAACGTTGAATAGCTGTAGAAACATACAATCGGTTGATAATTTCAAATACTTAGGGGTATTCATAGATAACCATCAAAGATGGAATAAACATATTGAAAATTTAGTAAGAAAATTAAGATACCTTATTCCGAAAGTCAAATATTTCAGCCGTTTTTTAAACGAAAAATATCTGTACATGATATATCATGCCCTTGTTCAATCATTACTATTTTACGGAATCTTGAAAGTTATGTTGAACAAAAAGAAATGTTATCCCTCAGAAAATCTCTACAATAATATATTTAACAAAAGATCCAAAATTGTTAATTTCTATCAGCCACAACCATCAAACGCTATTCAAGGAAACCTCTGCACTAATTCCTAGACTAAATAAAACTATCAGCCAAATATCATTCTATTTTCTATGCTCCAAATTTTATACTGTTATTCTTGCAAACTTTAAACATATAAAATGTAAAAAACGTTTAAAAATTGAATTAAAATCATGGATCCGAAATCAACCAAGGCTACAAATTAGTTATATTGTTTGTTGACACTAAAAACCTATATGTTATTTGATAATGAAATTTATACATCTGGCTAGTATACTTAAAGAAAATTTCTTGTGTTAATATGACTCAACTTCGGTTAAAACCCAAGCACAAGTGTACACTTTTCGAGTATATTATTGTGACAAACAGTACTGTTGGCGGCATCTGTTGGACGAATCTTCTACTCGCCAGAGCTTCATGGCCGATATCTGCTTTTACCGAACCACGACCGCACAAGCCGCTTGGCGGCGTCTGTGAGGACCGTGGCCGTGGATCGCCTTCTAGATCGACGCGAAGTGACCTCCAATATTCTAGATGTCGCTTTGTGGTTCGGGTGTCGGTGGCCGGGAGAGGGAAGCAGGGTACTGAATACGGTAGAGTTGCAGAGCGGAGTGGAGTATAGTGCAGTCAATGGCGACATAAATAGTTGTGTACATAAATGTTCTATCAAGTTAAATAAATTAGTGCATTTCTTTTTGTGGAATCCATTGTTTTAATTCACACCCAAAGGAACCCAAAAAATCGCTACATTATGTTTATTGGACATTGCCGTTATTATTTATACGAAAACTTTGTAATTGGACCAATAAACATTATTATTATTATTATTTTACCAAAAAGTCTTGAAACTTTACCTTTTCGTAGTTTGAAATTCGTCCAAATATCTAGTCGCCATGGTACAAGAATATTAGCTTCAGGCTGTGGAAAGGTCACCGTTGAAAGCTCGTACCAAGGTGGCAAATTTTGTTTTTTAGCTTCATATTTTCGGAGGAATACAACGTTTATGATACGCTTCCAGATATATAAAATGCTTTTCTCAAAGAGCCTATTATCATACAGCAAGATGTATTTTGAGTGAGTATTTAAAATGCGGTACCTAGAGATAGATAATCAAAAATATAGTCGCAGCGTCTGTATAAAACTAGAAGTAAAATTGTATCAAAAATACTAACAATATATACACGATGAGGGGATAAGGTTGCTAAGGCTATCGCCGTTATATAACGCGGATATATACACTACCGTGCAAAAGTATTTAAACACCTGCATA